GTAAGGACTCCAAGTTAAAACCATTTTTTCTCTTCCATGCTATTATATGGTCGGGTTGGACAAGGACGAACAATTAGAGTTGATTATTCGTTCTTGTGATATTATCTTACGATTTGATATATGTACACAAAAAAGGCCGATGACCATGCACTCTCAAGTTGTTCTTCGATTCGTCACTGCATTCATTCTGAATTATCGGTAGAGCGCTAAGCGGCTTGAAGTAGTTCATGTATTGTCCAAGATGTGGCGCTAGTACGTAGTTTTTCGTTTTAATCAATCTAGAGAGCTAGATGTGTGTGGCTCACAGACAGGACAGCACCGGCGGTATCAGCTGATCGCATGTAGTTTCATTCATACGGTCGCGTTAGACGGTTCTTTTCGTTCCGAGTCTTTCTTTTTTTCTTTCTCGATTAACCATGAGTGTCTCAAAAGTGCCGAGTAACGATTACTGCGACTATCGTAGCCCGTTATCGACTCGATATGCTTCGAAGGAAATGCGATACAATTTCAGTGATCAGAATAAGTTCAGCACATGGCGCAAACTTTGGATTTATCTGGCCAAAGCTGAAATGGTATGTAACTCTCCCGAACGATAAGAGTAGACTGCTACTTACCTATCTGTTGTATTGTTAACATTGCTCGGCCAGAATAACTAGATTTAACGTATGTTTGCAAGTAAGCTCTTTTTCCTCTTTTTTCTTTGATAACGCATTATTGTGAAAAGTACATCAGAAAAATTTTCTTATTAATAATTACATTTCGCGTTATGACGATACGAGTTATTGTCCTGGTGAAAATTTTCCTCAAAAGTTTTCATATAACTTTTCAGAATGTTTAAAAATCTGAGAACTTTTTTTAATTTTAAAATGGACTGAATGACTTCCAACAGGTTTTAGCCGATGCTTGTTATTCATTAAAGAGTTATGAATAAAAGAAGTTTAAGAAATATTGTCTTATTTCTAGTACGTAAAATAGTCCTAAAATGTGAGGTAGTTTTTAATATTGCATGTGGAAGAAATAAGACATTATTTTTTAAACTTTTTAATAACTAATAACTTTTTCGTAAATGATGAGTGACTGTTAAAACCTGTTGGAGGTTATTCAGAATCATGACTTTGACAACATATATCAAGATCAAAGTTATTAGGGCTGTAGCCCTTATACTGTATGTATAATTACCATAATTTTTATTTTCTGTCTCTAGAGGATTCCGCAGTCTCCAATGATTATTAACTTATGTTCCGCTTTTGATCTAAAAATAGTCTAATATTGTTCTTTTTACCAGGATATCATTGTTTTACTAAACCAGAATCTCGCAACAAGGTTATTATAGTCTTGTAAAGTATTTTCTAACTAAAAAAAAATGACATAATGATAACCCGTACGTTACCGAAGATTAAATGACGATTTACGCAGCCAATTGAAATCTAGAATTTGGATATGTATGGATAGATTTCGATCGAAATTATTCAATTATTTTTTAGATTTTGTTTTCTAAGAAAAATGAAATAATTTCGATTGGAATCGATCCCGACTTGTTTCATGATACGAATTCATTCCGATTTGTTTCATGATAGGTCTATAGACTTCAATTCACTCAGGGTCATGATCTTGATTGTACAACATGTCAAGTCCAAGAAGTGGCTTCGATAAACAGAATATTTACCGTGCCCTGATATATCACGCTACGTTTTATGAAAGAAATATAATTTATTTCCAAAACTCGTGTAGATTTTATGGATACGGGATTTGCGCGAGAATATTTTTGAATGAAAAAGTTTTGTTTATGACAAACAAGTATAGGAATAAACTCCAGAAGATTACGAAATAATTTTCGTAACGTCTTATATTGCCACACATCTTATCTATTGATGCCATATGTTTCGAAAACATGATTATCTTAGAGTTTACAAAGATTTAAAACGCCATCTTTATATTATAAAAAGAATTACAATTATATGCTTCAATGATATGTTAAAGTATTCATTTCGATTTGAATATCGATCAATTAAAATTCCAGAAAATTCAATGAAATCAAGTCATTGGACATATACGAATCTCCGTTAATTATAAAGCAATAAAGTGCATATTCCAATATGATGTTACTTTACTATTATTACATAATATTTTTATATTAATAAGATAAGATTAAAAGATCCTATTCATCACTATACTATCTCAAATTATGACTTTAGAAGCGAAAAATTACATAATAAAAATTTTTACAAAATATATTAATATGTTTCTATAGAACACACCATTTATACAGTTGATATAGAATTAACTTGTAAAATATACCGAAAACTTTCTTTTTATTTCATTGATTAATAAATAATCATATCTGAAAATGAATTGTGCATAAAAAAAAATCAAAAACAATTTAATTTTTCCTCGAAATAAGAAGAATTTTTGATATATTTTGTAAGTCCATTCTATTGCAAATATTTCTATTCAAATATAATCTTTTTGCCAGAATCTTTGTTGTGCTTTCTTGCTTCTAACGTCATAATCTAAGATTGTAGTGATAAGCTAACAGAATAATCTTAATGTTAGTCGATCAATCAAATCTTTGCTTCCGCTTTAGCAATATTTAGTTCTTCCTTCATATAAATCGCATTTCCATATTGTCAGTATGAAGATCGTGGCAGTGTTGACGATAAAGGTGACGTACAGATTACCCGGAAATATCTGCAATCCAAGAAGACTACGTCCACGTCGGTTTCACCTATACAAAACGAATCTTCTAACCGTTGCCGGAAAAAGATTTTGCCAATCTGCCCACCGAATGGCCAGGTTAATCCATCGGTCACTAAACCCACCAATTATAACTGTAACGCCACTCGTTACTCTACTATGCTGGCTATATCGGGCATGAACGATTCTTTGCAGGACGAGAAGCAACAGATGCCCACGGATATCAATGATAATGTACAGCCACTGAACAAGCATTATTACTTCCAGGACAAGATGCAACGAAAGAAAGAGGCGAACAGTTTCCCCAACTTTGATATGTGGAGTTCCAATCTGGTGCCCACGTTACCCAACTCGTCCACAAACCCCGACAGTCCATTGACTTACGATTCGCTGGACAAATTTCCGAGCAATTCGTCACACGATTGGGAGAACGACACGAAATACTTGTCGCCTTCCTTGTTTAACGGATACCAATGCTCAAACGATTCCGGTGTTTCGAATTGCCAACCCAGTTTCTCTACTAACAAGACGGTTGATCAGACTCGCCAAACCACTGTCCATGGTCAGAACCATCCGGCATGTTATGTGCTGCTGCAGCAGCCAGCTTATCTCTATTCGAAGGACGTTGCAGCTTATCCGCAATCCTCGGCCGTCATTCGTCACGCTCATAACTGTGATTGTCGATCGTACCAATGTAACGAGCAGATCGGTATGCGAAGATCGATTACAGATCCAGGTCCCATCAGCAAGAAATTCGACTATGAATTCTGGCACGGTGGAATCCTGATGAAATCAGGAAATGGCAATGCGATGTCGCGTACAACCAACATCTCTGCGTCATGCTACGTTAAAAATTACGCGCCGAATCTTGTTATGAATTTTGCACCGATTTGTCCGGCCGCGGAAAATATGACAACTTGTTTCGGTCCACTCGTGGCAAACGGCAGCGAGAAACGGCCCAGACCGATCTTGAAGCAAGAAGCTGCTCACGCTCAGCTATGATTCTTCCTTTCCTCTCTTCCTTTTATTTTTTTCTTTTGACATTTTATGTAGATTTTATAGAACGACGTTTTTACGTTTATTTCGTGTGCTCTAATGGGATAATTATTAAGGTATAATTTTTGTTTTTAATTATTGACGTTGCTAAGTTGCCAAAGAGAAAGATTCGCACGAGTAGTACAAAAAAATTTTTTTTTAATGTAAGCATATAAGCGTTGCTAAGTTCTTCGCAATTTTTTCAATTTGTAGCTTAAATGTAACTCGCGATTATTTTTATTTTGTAGCATTTTATTGGTAAATGCGATGTTACCATTTTTTTAAATCGCGCATAATCGTTGGCATCTAACTATTTTTTAACGATCTATGTAATAGCGGTTCATTTGCATAGATTGCAGATTTACATTAGATTAAGTCTCGCGCTGACATATTTACTATATTTATTTTATATAAATGCATGATGAATTACCCGTATATTTTCTAAACGCAGTTTTCGGGTCTCAGATTTTTTATCGTTATATTTTTTGTCATTGTCAGTGCTCGGAGTGAGAGAACTTCGAGATTCGCTAGAAATTAAGGCTTCTGACTAAGTCACTGCAATCATATTGGATCAAAATTGTTACAAGAAAAATAATATGTTGAAACTTCTTGCATGTCATTTGTAAGCAAAGAGAATTTTGATAAAATAAAATAGTGAAATCACTTCAAAAGTGACTAGAACCATTTTTATTCTCCTGCCAGTTAGTAAATAGTTATAAGGGGCATATTTTATTCATATTCTCTTTATTCATAAGTGGCATGCAAGAAACTTCAACGTGTCATTGCCTTGTCACGTCACGATCCAATATGGTCGCAGCAACTAGTCAGGAACCTTAAGCCAAACCTCATTTCCGAGAAATCATGCTATATTTTAAGACTGAAAATGAAAGATAAAGATAAAATCGACATTAAGCCAGCGTTACATTAATAATGTTACAGCAGATTACAAGTGACGCGCATCTCGCCGCTGGCTGTGCATCCCACACTTTATATCATGTTTCGAGGAATGTCGCGAAGAAGTACGAATCATGTTCTTTCGATAGTGTTATCTTACACTATAGTGTTAAGTTACAGCTAATAATAATCAACAACGCGATCAGCGTTGCTTATTTCTTCTCAGCATGTCCGCGCGAAGACGAATATACTTTTAAGTTCCTTAATCGCTATTCCTAATGACTATTATTGTAAGGAATAAATATTTTTAACGAAGTAATCACGATCGACGTTTTCGGTCGTCACAATGTGCATTTTATCGACGCGAGATATGTAATTGTGATTGTTGTTTATGTGGTGGAGGGAGAAGCCATGTGCTTTTGCAATCGACTGTATTTTGGACAAGTATTTGATTTCTGCGAATAGAAATAACTTTTCATCAGCTGAGGTCCTGCGTACAATGGAAGAAATAGGAATAAATATTAAATAAAAAAAAAATTAGGAATAGGAATTAAACATAACGCACAATGGATACACAAATAAAATACGATATATTTTATATTTATTATTTTTTATTTGTATCTCTTTTGCGCGTTATGTTTAATTTCTATTTCTAATTTGTTTTGTTTCTCTAATTCTCTTATTCGTGCTCCTAATTCATTTCTTTCATTGTGCACAGAGTTTAACTTCAATAATCTTTTACGTATCATTATTCAAACACTTACAGTTCTGATTCCTCGATCACGAAAATGCAATCGACAACTGGCACATCGTACCTTTCTTGAGTCCGTGCCTTCGAATCTGCTTGTTATCTGAGATATTAAATATTTTGCATTAATAATGAATCAATTTAATTGAATAAAATTCATTTCTTCTTCCAAAATATAGTTTTATTTATCAAAGTGGATACAAAGTCTTTTTCAACCGAAAACAAGTCACAGAATAATTTTTTTTCGGTTCAAAATTGAAATGATAAATTTATGCAATTTTACATGCAATTGACATGCGCGTGTTGTTTTGTATATTGCTCTTTTGCTACTACAACATAATTCAATTATTATTTTTTAATTACTTGTGAAAAAAAGAATCGAAACATAAAGAAAAAACATTCGTACTTAAAAATTACATTTTATTCCCCCATAATCAGTTATTACATCAAAATTGCATTTCAAAATTAATGAAATTACAAAATTTTTATGTTCAAAATGTTCGAACTTATTTTCTGGAAAATTTTGTTTTTTGAGTTATGTTGTAGCAAATGAGTGATGCGTGTTTAGTTGTAATGGGAATGGATCGTTTACCTTTCTACTTTCCAACGGGGCGCAAAATTCACAAAAGTATCTTCCCTTTTTGTTCTTAAAGACGATATAGTATCTTGAATTGTCCAAAGTTGGCGTTAAACTCTGAAAAGCACGCGGTTGAGACAGTACAAATCAAGGACCTGAGAAATTTTCAGAATAATGAAAATAATCGCTTTGAAATCACCTTCTGTCGCTTGTAGAGCGAACAAGCAGCGTTCAATTGATGTTCAATTATAGGATTCGACGTTCCATTCCTTGCTGAATGCTCGCTCTAGAATAGGAATAAAGATTCAACGCATAATTGGAGTTTACTTTTCAAGTCTTGATAGCTTAAGAACAGGAACGTTTTTATACTCCTTGAATATTCTGATTATCAAGTATCGTCCTGGATGCCATTCTTCCGGGGATGCAGTCCTCATTTATCACGGATACATTTCTAAGTGACAAGCAAAGTTTCTAATTATTGCGTCGACATTGTACACGGAAAGAATGGTTTTTTCGTGTACGAAATATTTAAAAAATTAACTAGATACAGATCTGAATATAATTTTGTTTTAATCATCAAAATAATTTTGTAGGATGCTCAAACCGATTGCCATGTTGTTAAAAATTTTCACAGTATTATAATCAAGATTTAATATTAAAATTATTGATTATTATTGACTGTGTTTAGCAAAGAAAGCAACTTTGCAACTGTAAAATTCTTTAATATGATTGGTCTTGCTCTTAGTTCCTTATTCACATACTGTATCTAAATGTATAAATCAATCATATTAAAGAATTCTACGACAGTTGCAAAATCAATTGCTTTCTCTACTAAGCCATTGATTATTTCTATTTGTTAGATTACTTAATTGCATTTTTTGTACACAAAATAGAATTTAACATTTTTTTGTTCTTTTCACAATAATTATTTCCTTTATAGTATAAAATATTTTTGTATCATTTTCTTTATTTTCATAATTATCCACTTGATCTATTTAATGAATAAAAAACGTTGATATTTTTAATGTTGTTCTATATCATTATTTTTATTAGTTCAATAGAACCAATAAAATATTTTTATTGGCTCTAATTAAATTTTTAGATACTTTAACAAAACCGTTCTTTTCATGTAGTCTCGGTGAGAATTTTTGATTGCTTACGCGTCCGTAATTGGATCCACCTTATTTGATTTTAAGTATAACAACATTCGAGGTTTCGTTCTACTACTTAGCGGCGTGCTTAATATTCTGCTCCTAAAATGATTATTTCTCGTATATTGAATCATTTGTTTCAGACCGTGTAACGACGGTCGATTTCGCTATGCATGAAACTGTACGAAACGCATTATTGAATCAATTATCGCTTTATATAAAATGATAATACCTACGTGTATATCGATTCCTTCGAGTTTGTTATGCTTTCTTGTTCCATTACACCCTTAAATTTTTGATAAATTCTAGGGCTGCGTTCTCCTCCTCCCTTACTCCTTTCGATCTTATTTTTTTCGTCGATTGTCTTCTCTTCGTTTCCTTCCATGCTGCTATTATTTCTTTCCTTTACGTTTTCATGTCCTACGATTATATCGGACTCTTTAGTTTTTGAAAGTTTTATTTTGATTTTTTCCGCAATTTTCTGATCGATGTCCTCTGTTATGTCTTTTTTAATCTCTGTTGCAGCCACTTTTTCTTTGTAGCTAGAACGGAAAGTCATGCAAGAAGAGAAGGATTTGGGATAGTTCTTAACATTGTATATAGCAGAAATAAAACATTATTTTTTAAACTTTGTTATTAATAACTTTTTAACGAATGAAGACTGACGGAATAAAACTTGTTAAAAGATCGCAATCTTGAAAATATGCGTCAAGATCGTCGAAGCGAATCCCCTGTTCGATATATTTATCAGTTTTAAATTCAATACTGTTATTTTAATTATTTTTAAATATGTGTTATTATTTAATTATTTTAAATTAAATACCGTCATGAAAAATAACCTCCTTTACATATTATCTTACATACAATATTATCTAGAAGAGATAACATAATTTTTGGACAGAATAATCATTTTTAAAGATTATTTTATCTTATGATACGCATACACGCACAACGCACGCATACATACAAACACATACATACATACTCGATATCCAGTGCGGTCTGCATTTTTTTGTCCGGTTCAAAAACTGAAGCAATATGTGTGGAGATTGGTTGTATCGTCATTTTTGTAGCATTGTTCTTGCTTTCAGTATCTATAGATGAGAATTATTCACAAATAATAATTGATGCCATGCGTTATCGCGCGAAACTCATCGAGAAAATTTCTTTTCTCCTTTTTTAAATTGCTTTGTTGCTATACTAATCGAAAAATTCACATCAAATACTTCTGCTATATGAAAGAAAATAGTTTCACTGAATTCAAATTTAATTTAAATTTTAATTCATTTTAAATATTTTCATAAAAGTTTTATAGATTATATGTTATTTTCTGAAATGAAGTAAAAAGATAATAAAGAAAGAAGAAGAGAAGTTTAAACATGAAATATTTTGAACACTATCTACTCCAGTGTCCCCTTGGTTGTCACGTACTATACCCCAAGCTGGAACACATAGTGACAAATATGTTTTTCAAATACATAATAGAAGTTTATAAAGATTATATTTTCATAATTATTATAATCCAAAACACAAGTAAACTTGAAACGAGCTCACTTCAGGCTAAAACTAAGTTGCAGAAAAGGAAGATATGTCACTACGTGACGTCTCCCTCTCTTGTCTAATACTAAAAATACTAAAAAAATCGGCCCATTGCGCCTTTTGAAATAACAACTTTGATTAATATTTCTATAATTCTGAACAATAGAAGAATTTGACACAATTCTATATTAGGTTTATAATCTGCTGTGTTGTCTCACTCGTCATTTTATGAAGATTAGATTTTCCTTTTGACTGTGATTTCGTATGTTTTAATTGCTGTAATTGTTGCGTCTGTGTCGTATCCGTTATGCATTTGCATCTGCAAGAAAAAAAAACGTGTCATTTTCTAAGAGATTTCCTAGATATAAAAGCTAGCAAATTACTTAGAGCAACACGGCATGCTGACTTCTCCACGAAGAAACTGCACGATAGCGGGATAACTCCATTGTGGATGTTGTAAACAATGCGTATTGGGCACTTCTACGGTGCTGGGAAGTTGTATGTATTGATGACAGAATTCGCATTTACTCGATGTCTGCATCGGTGTTTCTTTCGTGATTGCTCTCGGAGTCTGAGCTTATTCGAAAACGTGCATAGAAATTTAAGAAACAAAATAATCGATAAAAGTGATATCTTTTCAAATCATAAAAAACAAAGTTACACAATTATAAAATATAATACAAAGTAAGATATTTTTGATATCCCAACAGCTAGTTTTTTTTATTTTTTTTTTTTTTATTTCAATGATTCATAATTAATAAAATACTGAATCATTCTTTACATCTTTTAGATTAAAGATAAATGCAAAATTTTTTTTAATTGTGAAATAATTTGTCTTAAATATAATAAATGTGTATGAATAACGTATATGTAGCAAATTTATGGACACGCGAATAATGAGAAGGTTTAAAGAAAAGAAATTTAAATAATTAGTCCGATATCCAATATTCTCGCCTAAATTTACTGAATGTGTGTGCGTTTGAATACTACTTATATACATTATTATATTTAGTGTAAATTGTTTTATAATTAAAATTTTTTTTGCATTTAAAGGGTGTATAAAATCTTTACTAATTGTAGATCATTAAAGAATGAAAATTGAGATATAATGTTGCGATGTCAGAAACATCTATCCTATACAAGTAATGTGCTAATAAGAAATCTTGTCAAATCCGACTCACTTGACTTTCCACGACGGACATCTCTTTCGATTCTGTTTGAATTTCAGCGACGTCAAGATTGTATAATGATGGTACGCAGGTAGGATGGTCAATGTATTCTCGCCGTTGAGAATATCCAACTTTGCGGTAACAATGTTCAGGAAGTTGCATTGCAACATCTTCCAGTTCACGGGGTATCCTGATGTCACTCAAGCTGGTCGTTACATCATGCTTCATTATCTACGTTATACTCAAGATATTTAAATTAGAATGTAAAACAGTGATCTTGAATTCATAGTATTGTAAATTTCAAATAAGTTTATCCGTTAGAGTCATTGCTTCTGAAAAATTAAATAATTTCGTAATGCTTGAATGTGAGAACAGAACTATTTAATTAGATTAATAAAAATTTTCATCAGTTTACAAATGTCCTACTCGTAATTGATTTATTAATTTAATTTAATAAAAAAACTTAATATACTTAATAAAAAGTAATTATTAATTAGAGTAATAAAAGTTTTTATTATTAATTTAATTAAATTAATAATAGAACTAATAGACTGAAATTGTGAATATCTGTAATCTATATAATTGAATGTCCTCATTTTTAATACTTGTGAAGCTTTTTCCTGCGATTACTCACTTGAGTTTCAAGTGCATTTAATCGATTGGCTTTGCGTAGTGTACGTTCCCTCATATTATCAATGCAACATTGTTCGCAGATTAAGCATCTTCTTTTCCAAAATCTAAATACGTATATTTTTATTATAATTTTATTCAATTGGGTCTGCCTGCCTCTGCTTCGAAGATTTAAATTTGAACTAATAACTCACGCGAATACCATCGTGATATCGATCAAGAATAATAATGCTGCCAACAGACACAATATTATTATTATTATTATTACTATGAAATGTGTATTGGCTTTAAAAATCAAGAAAATCCCAACGACAGCAAAAAATAATAGGCCAAGTAAAGAGAATATGGTCATCTGTAATAATTAATATAGAAAAATATTTATATTTGTAATTAATAATATTTGATAAACAATATTTTTTTTTTTAGTGAAATTAAAATATTTTATATACAGCATTTTACATATAGAATTTAAAAAATTATCATTAACATTTTGTTAATAACGTATATTATGATTATTTCTTTTTCAAGTTTTTAATTCATATGTTAATAAATGATCTATATTCTTGAAAGACATTTAAAAAAGGAAAGTTTCGAGTTGTTTTTTACATAACTCTGATTTCAATACATAGTAATGCACAATAGCACGTCATAAATTACCGGAATAATGTGCAAGGCACTGCCGGCAAAATAGCTGATTAACTCGATAGCTAAGACGAAAATATATACGCCTGATAGGATAATCAAGACGATGCAGGCAATAGCGTTTATTGGCGTAGGCTCCATAACGATTACATAAATCGTGGTTGCGAACAATAGCAGCACCGTGAACTGTCTTGAGGGAAAATTTTGTAATACAACGAGTTCATTCTAATTCTGATATTTTTTTATATTAAGATTGCAGTCGAATAAAATAATGGTGTTCAATACGCACGAATTGAAATATCCTCAGCGGCTTGATTAATGTCGATACGCATCTGCTGATTTTCTGCAGTAGCTTCCGACAATCCAAGAATGTCTTCTTCTTTGGCATCTTTTATCTCTGCCGTTTTTTTCCCGTTATGCTTCTTATCATTTACAAATATTTAAGCGATATTATAATATTATGTTACGTGATATAACATATTGCAATATAAATTAATAATATGCACGAATATGTGAAAAAATTCTATTTAAAATTGTTTGACCATTTTTTGGCATTGCACATTTTTGTTTCCCTAAAGAATAACTAACTTCACGTACGTTCGTCTTCCATTTTTATTTATGAATTTGCTTTAAACAGAAAAACATAGACAAAGAATAACATTCACTTTCTTCTAGTTTATTATATCCTTTTTTTTATATCCTTTCTTTTATCCAAGAATTTTCACATATTATTATTGATTTCGAAACATTTTTACATATTTTTCATTAAAATTGTTACAAATCAATATTTTATATTTCGATTTTATCAATCTCTTTTAGCGCCTGCTTATAACATTCAAAGCATCTAAAAATAAACTCCATATTTCAATGAAATGGGATAAATGTTTAACAAATGATTTAATTTTCATATCTCGTTATATTTATTTTATTTTTATAGTATACAAAATACAAGCATTAGAATTTAGATAAAAAAGAAAGCACATTTAGAGTACAAAATTTTAATAATGAACAGATTTGCATGTACTTTATTAATTTTGCTATAAATTTCAAATTTGTCAGCCTAACATACGATAGTATAAGGATATAATCTTCATTTAAAACGAATAAAGAAAAACAGATAAGTTAAAATATATAGAAAGAGATATTTTATATTCTACTTAAAAAAAATAGCTTAAACTTTGTTATTGCAACATTTTCTAAAAATAAATGTTTTAGGTACAAAAATGGACGGATTTGTACGCGGATGGACACTTTTTTCATCCGAATAGCAAAGAATATTTTTAAAATCGCGACAAAGATTGCAATTTCGCGTTTGGTCTCGTTATTAAATAATTACGATAACTATACGAATTTTTTACTAATAACTAATAAATCTTTTCTATCGATAATTACACGCATATACATGATCTTACATGCTACTACAATGATAATAGATATTATATAATACTATTACTAATTCTAATTTCTAATATGACTTTAATGTATTTGATAATTTTACAAAATTAATGTTTTTAAATAAATTTTACAATTCATTTTATCAAATATGAGATGCTATTCAAAAATTTGGAAAATTTGTCTATGAAAAGTTATTTACTTTAACTTCCAGTTTTCAACGCTTCCTTCGAACTAGTTGGACATGGATGCAGCGATATCGATGTTTTTTTTAAGTATGAGTGTTTTAAACGCCTCCTTTTTTCCAATTTTGCTTGGCTCTCCTTATCCATAAGGTATTTGTCTTTCTTAGTCTAACCCACAATGGAAAGTTTTATTGTGAAGTTTTGATTACAGAGGAGCATCAGGTCACGCCTAGACAAATAAGAGAACAACTGAGTTCTCGGTCATGACGTCAACACGCCCCTTCATACATCGTTCGACAATTTTTTACTTCCAGGAACATGATAATGATTGCCCATCTATCCTATTCGCCTCCCGATCGCGCTCTCTGTGGTTTCTTCTTATTCTCTAAGATAAACTTTCGATTGAAAGACCGTCGTTTTGACACTATTGACGCAATCCTGGCAAATTCACAGGAGCTTAACACTTCCATTCGAATTTTATGAAATAATAGAAAAAAAATTATTGAAATCGCTATATTCATGTTCAAGAGTACTATTTCAAAGAAATTACAACTAGGAACTAGAAATTAAGGTAGGCAATTTTATTTTACAGGAAAATTTCAAAGTTTAAATAGCACCTCATATCTTTCCTCAGATAATATTAAAACTGTAACACAATTCAATAAATATACAATTTTTCAATTTTTAATTTCTTAAATCTTTTTCGTTTTATAAAATAATAGCTGCTTTCAGTAGAGGTAATAGCTTTGCATAACTGTTGTAATATTCTTTAATATGATTGGTCAGGAGGGCTCCGTTTTTTACTGCTATCAATGAGAATATTTTATTTTAAATTGATCGATTAACGATGTACATTATCGAATCCCTCTCGATTGGTTTTGCCCTAAGTTCTTCACATATTATTATCACCAATCAAGCTGTTTTCCTTGCTGAATGCAGCCATTAAAATATCAAATTAATAATCGTATAAATTTCAGAAAGTTTTGTGAAATTGCTTATGTAATAAATATTCAGCCGCGTATACACCTAGCGAACGAACATTGAACGCGAATGTTCGGACATTCATGTTTGTGTTTATGAGCAATTTATTCTTTTTCTTGATGCACCAAATACTAGCATTCGATCAGATTCGATGTTTGTTGCACATAGCAATTAAACTTGTGCAACTTTTATGTATCAAATAACAACACAAAATTTTGCGTTCGCTGTTCGTTTGATGTTTGTTCGCTAGGTGTATACATGGCTTTAAAAAATTAAGATCTTTCATATATTTCTTTTTCTTTTTAAATAGATTATCCATAGCTTTGGTGATACTCGTGAGTCTTTCAACTCGCTTGAATCAACGGATTTTCTTGCGGAGACGCACATATTCACGCATATCTTATAATGGCGACAATTTCCGCGACAAATGCTGCTGCAGTTACGAATGTAAATACTGCTGCTGATATAAGCATATCCATGTACTGTTTACTAGGATGGATTTCGTTGTTATGCACATAATAGTAAGGACCATTCATCTGGCGCCAATTATGGACCATCAAACTTCCGGCCACCACGTGCATAAACGCGCCTACGGTTGCGAACATCAGCAACTGTAACAGTCAATTAATCATGAATCCAATTGCACATCCTCTAATGTTAGCGTGATGAGAAATTCCCGGGAGTCTATGTTTAATGCCTGCGGAAATCAATCGGAGAACGCAGATGTGCCTACCCAGCATTTGGAATTCAATTTCGCGATTAGTCACAAATACTGACAATTCTTGGGTATTTAGGAAACAACTTTATTTTAATGACTTTTTAACGAGAAACTTCTCTACGAGAGAACTTTCTCTACGTCACTCAAATTTAAGAAGACATTACGTCACATCAATCCCGTATTAGGGATCCACATTTTATAATATATCCTGTATAAACATAATACATCAGTTATGCAAACAAATCACAAATGATTATATGATGAAAAAAATATAACTACATATTGTATATTAGACATGTCTTTAATAATAAACAAATTATATATATGTATATTTATATATATGTGTATATATATATATATATATAGAGAGAGAGAGAGAGAGAGAGAGAGAGAGAAAGAGAGAGGAAAGCCCCCTATTATGAGATAGACGCCTAATATGAGAGAGCAGCGTTTCTGCTAAACTAGTAGACGCTATCTATGGTTCCATCATGAATTTATTACTCTTAGATTGAAAACTGTTTAGTAGAAAATTCATTATTAGATCATGCCTATATGCCTTACGGTAGTCATCGTAAAAAAATATTTTAGAATTTGGATATCTTCAAGTTTCATTGAGATGAGTCTTTAAATTGTTTATTATTTAATAAATAAATATTTGGCAATAAATTCTTCATGTAGTGATAGAGTAAGGTCATACTAATAGAAAAATACGGAATATGTTGAATTGCTTAATTACAGAAGTTAGATTTAATGATTACAAAATCGTAAGGCGTGGAAATCGTAATATGAGGGTATTTTTAATATGAAATAACCCATGCATAGTGAAAATCATTGCTAAGGTATAAATGTTATTGTACAATAATGACAACCGGAATGAACGTCGAGTGCCTATTTCTGCGATGCTTAATTTCAATTACCTGAAGACAAATTCTGGATATAATGTATCGCATATTCATTTTTCGCGCACCCTGGCTATGTTTGTTTGTATTTAAGAAACATTAAATAAAGATTTCAGTTGCAATACTGATATATTTTGCGTTTTATTATCGATTTCTCAAAGTATCTCATATTAAGAGCACAATTTTTTTACTTTGCGATTTTTGCTCACTTTTTACATTTCTTTAATTTAAAACAAATTAAATTTGAATTAAATTTTAATTATAACATTATTTTAAAACTTATTAAATTCCCTTCAAAATGACCTATTATTTTTTAAAATTCTGCCCATAGACTTCTAGCATTTATCCAAAATGAACTTGATATCTCATAATAGGAGCCTTACCTTTCTCTTTCTCTTTCTCTCTCTCTCTCTCTCTCTCTCTCTCTCTCTCTCTGTGTGCGTGTGCGTGTGCGTGTGCGTGTGCGTGTGCGTGTGCTTGTCGTGTGCGTGTGCGTGTGCGTGTGCGTATGTGTGTATGTGTGTACATATAAAACGAAACAAAATGTTTTGCTTGACTAAATAGACTTATAAATATATAAATAGGATATAATAATTATCACTAATATCACAGCGATGTTATTTGTAAATTAAAGACTATACAATGAAATAATCGAAATATAAAAGATAAGAATTAAAACACAAGGTAACGTAACTAAAGTGCAATTAGATATACATGAATATGATTGTATAATTGATTAAAAGTTATTAAGGCTCGACTTGAATATCGACTTGTGCGAGGGCGCACAAGGCAATATGGTGGAAGACGCGCCTCTCCCCAAGGAGTTTTGAGACTCTAGTCGGTCGCCATGACAGTATTCTTCTTTTGTTTCAAGTACACACAGAGGAGCGATCGTTATTGTATTTTATCGCGGTATTTTGTAAAGGAGATAACGTTCACCTTGATAATACTAATACTAATACTAACGTTTGTATCAAAACAAATAAAGCAGGTCAATCAAATCATTAACAAAAGTATAATAGTACAGCAAAAACAAGAAAGTATTCTATTGTTTTTTTACTTTTGATTTACATTAATGTGTTAAAAATTTATAGATTTTGTAAATTTTTATCGATTTCGCAATTTGATTATTCGTTCGAAATAGAATTATGTTATTAAAAAAAGTTTTTATTGGTTATGTCGTGTCTATTATGAAGCTAAGATATTTATTTATCGTTTGTCACGGTAAACCATAAGTCATTGATTACAATTATTATGTACATTTCATAACATGAGATGTTGATTCGTATAGTGAGATTTGCACAGTTGAAAAGTTTTTAATCATTCATAAGTGAATAAATCATACGTCTCAACACGCGCTCTGATGTATCTGATCTGATGTCGCGCGATTTTTTCATTTGGCGACATATTCTTAAACGGCGTGTAAAATGACATCGCAATAAAGCCTTGATACGTCCGCTAATTAACACATACGCCGTTGCTGCTGTGTAGTGACTCAGCTGTACAAATGAACTAGGCGTATCTAGTCGCGACCTATGGCGTTCTTTGTTATGGACATAATATAACAAGGCCATGTTTGCAGTAATAATATAACAAGTACACATGTTTATAGTATGGGTTGTTAATCCCCATACAAGTAATACTTTAAGAAAATTGAATATATTATATTTATTAAAAATATGACCAATATATGCACCAACGTATTCCTCTATTGATATTTATTTCAATAAAAATTATTCTTTTGTAAGAGAAAAAGAATATAATTAACACGTGTTAAAGAGAATGTTAGACTATTTAAACATTTCGAAAATTCATCACGCAAATTCCGTGATTAACTTGAAATCGATCTTCGTTTTCTTTATAAAAGAAATATTGAAATATTTAGAATTGTAAAGATCATCCTTGGAATCATCTATAGTCTTTTACTCTTATACCCTGCACGAAGATGCGTAGAATATATATATAAATATTGTACTTGTTTCTTCTTTACGAAGAAACTACGGATGGTAAATTCGTCACAAGATATGCAAAACAAATTTTATTTAAATTCTAACATATTTGATAGAAAATAGACATTACCGTTCTTTTTGGCACGCGATCACCCAGCATATGGCTGATGATGAAGAGTGCATTAATGAGAATATAGCCGGCGACCGAGACGTAGATAGTGGCTGCATCGTCCAGCTTGAATCGCGACCTGTTGAAAATGCGCTGGAACGAGTTCATCGGATCCACTGACAAACCGATTGCAAAAATGGCCAGTATCTGCATCGAAATGTTAAACATATTTAAACTTCAAAACATATTTAAATTTCAGGAGTGCTGAAAAAGTCGCATATTTTTTCTAGATTTTTTCATTTGCGTGAATTTTGAAATATTTGAAGACTTCTATAAATATTCTAAGAAATTAATGTATTTAACGCTATCAACACACACACACCACACACACACAACACATATATATATAATTCATACACTCGAAAAAATAAAAGTAATATAGATCAACTAATGTTGAGCAAATAAAGAAATGTTATAATAATATGTCATATACACTTCTCAACACAAAATTAAAGGATTACTTGTTCCTCCCTGCAAAAATAAGCAAATTTTAAGATAGAATAACTTAAGAAAATCATCGTATCGAGATGTTTAAAAAAGCATTTTACAGCCTGAGATCTCTACTTTCAGATTGGTACTTTAAAAAAGTCTTACTAATATTTTGTAACAATTTTAAAATATTTTGTTATCGTATTACGAAATTATTCTATCTTGAAATTTGTCTATTTTTGTAAAATGGAATAGAATTTTATTTTAAATGGTCAAGCTAAGTCTTTTAGTGTTGAAAGAATTCTGTGTGACTTTATATATCCAAATTCAATTCTGCATGCTGAGTCTATTTTCAGTCTTGAAACGCAATCTTAACAAAACTTAACAAAGAGTAGTAAATATGACAAATTAAAGTGACAAGCATTTTACTCACATGTATCTTTATAATAGTTAAACCTTAATATCGGAATAATTTTATTATGAAAAATATTATCTCGGCCGAGGATTGAACCCGGATCGCACGTATTCCGTGCGAGCGTTCTCGCCATTAGACCACCGAGACATAATATTCTTCGCAATAACCGATATGTATAAAGAGTTCGCATTTTAAATGCCACGTATATAAGCAATATTAAAGTATCATATTAGACTGCAATATGGACACACAACAGTTAAGAACAGTTAAGAAATAAAGGCTAAATGGTTAAGCTTTAGTGCTCTCTGAAATAATACCAAATTCAATCTAAATCCAATCCTGCAAACTGCGCACCGAACTTATTTTTGACCTTGAAACGCAAGAGGCTTCGATCCATGGTTAAGATAATATTTTTCGCAATAAAACTACAGATTTTAAGATGCTTAAAGCTTATTATAAAAATACTTGTAAGCATCATTATTACATTGCCAATTTAATTTGTGATATGACTACTTTAGTTCTGTTAAGATTCTGAAGATTGCGTTTCAAGACTGAAAATAAATTTGGCGCACTGCAGTTTGCAAGATTGGATTTGTGATATATAAATTTACATGGAATTGTTTCAACACCAAGAATCAAGCTTGACCGTTTAGTCTAATTTATTTCTTAATTGTGTGTGTTTACATCGCGGTCTAATATAATACTTTAATATTGTGTAATTTTATTATACCATTATTAATATTACTTCCGGAGAAAATTTATAAAATCTGAAAAATTTTAAGATATTTTTTCAGAAATTTTCATAAATTTAAACTATAATAACAAATTCTTAAAAATATTATGAAATATGAGAATTTTTTAAAGAAAAGCTTATTGAAGATTGCAATTTTCGCAATAAGAAAATTTCAACAACAGGATACGAAGCGCGTTGCGTCCATGCTATTCTTTATTCGATTAAATTAAAAAGATACTCGCCAATTCGAGTACTTTGATGATGATGGGTAGATGACTTAGAACCTTGTGCCTTTTAGCAGTCGGCTGTTGGCTTTGCTGGGCTTCATCAGCCATTCTCACTCGTCGATGTTTTCCTTTTCCGTCGCCCAGTTTGAAAGATTTTCAGTTCGATTTAATGACAATCGATTCTTTCTTCCCTGTGCGTGCGTGTCACCCTTACTCGGTTTTAGCGACCCTAAAACGAGAAACGCGATAGATATCACCCCTAAGGGAGTTGCACGTAAATCGTAGGGTTGAAGTGTGTACGGCGCAAATAAAAGACTGTAGAACGGATTATTTAAACGATAAGATATTTCACTGTGTTCTTTGTCTATTTCAGGTCAATTTTCCTTGGATAAATGCGTCGTAAATTATTTTTAAATTGTAACTGCGTTTTTTTTTATACTAAATGATGTCGATATTCAAGTAAATTAACTAAGATATTAGTAAAATTATATATAAAATATTTCCTTAATAATTTCCTTAATGATGATTTCCGTAATAACATATAAAAAACATATGACAGAAACAAACATTAGCATGTAGTGTAACAATTAAGTATAATAAAGATAACTAATTCCATATACACAAGGTTGGGTAGTGCTAAGTTAAAAAGATAAAAGTTAAGTTAAAAAGTTAAAAAGTTAATTAATTTTAACTTAACTTAATTACATTTTATCCGTAACTATTAATTTTTTATTTAATTTTTTTAAGTCTCGGACATAATATGCGGCAATAGCAATAACTTAAAATGAGGTGAAAATGGCAAAAGTGAGCAAATTTACTAGGTGTTGACCAATGAAATTATAAATATTCTAGTAAATTTGTTCACTTTTGTAATTTTCATCTCATTTCAAATTACACAATCGACTCCCAGATTTCAATTTATCAGAAACCGTGTATTTCGATATATCTAGTTTCTGATAGGTTGAAATCTTTTATTCCTCATTACTATCGCTCCTTATTACTACTCCCTCGTATTGAGTCTGAAGTTTTAGTCATCACAGGCCACATATATTCATAGTCAAATCTTATATACTAAACAGTATATATAAACAAAACATGTAAATAAAATATAGAATATTTTCTAAATGAAGTATATATTTGCCATTTCCGTTATTTGTAAGACTGAAACCTTGGAAACCTAGAATTATGAATTAAGAAAATAAAAAAAAAACAAATTTAACTTTTAACTTTTCAATTACTTTTTTTTATTAACTTAATTTTTAATTCAATTAATTTCATTATAAATTAACTTGTATCTTAACTAAGTTAAATTTTTAAGATTGTTAACTTTAACTTAACTTAGTTTTAAAAAAAGTTAACTTACCAACCCTGCTATACATATGTATATTTATAGCATAGTTAATCTTTACTGTTCCGCGTCATTTTTTTATACCTCATCCGCCATCATAGAGTGAGGCGCATTTGCGTTTTACGATTCTATTAAAGGATTACAACGTATAATGAGATGGTTTTCAATCGCAATTTTATTTAATTTCAATCTTCTAATATACGATTAAAAAGCGAAATGACAATATAATTAGTAAAACTGTAATTTTAGCACTTTACCGGCATATGTGACGCGCGAAATTTTGCTCGGACAATAGTAACCGCATGATGGAGAATAAGAGTTAATTATAGTTATTTATAGTTAATTTATATATTTCTAGTTAATAGCTTTAAGCTTCATGAATATAAATAAAAGGAAAATGGGGAATGAGACTCTTCTTTAATCTCGATCCACTTAAATCCATTAGATTAAGGAAGAATCTCTTTTAAATTAATCATATGACTTTTGTTATAAAAATAAAAAAAATGCAGTATTTTTATTAATACGGCACATTTATGCCCTTCGACGCGTTCTGTAACTTGGGAAAATCGATTCTACTCGGCTGTTTTGTACGGGAATGAATACGGAGTTGCATCACGCGAGTTGTGAACTCCGTCGCGGCTGAAACTCGTTGTATCTAAATAGGCCTCAAGGTATACGCTGAATAACAAAACTCCGTCCATTGATTCACCTGACACGCGCTCCGTCCACCACGTGTACCGTCACTCCTATCGCTTCGCTAGGGAAACTCGATTTCACTTCGAACACACTGCTGCGACTCCGAGTGTCCGCTCTCGAAGAACACAACAAAGTTCGTAAAGTGAAGTCAATGGTTGCGCGAGAGAGTTGCGTTCTCTTCTCTTCTTCTTTTACAGTTTTTCTCAATTTGTAGTTAACTCGAGAGAGAGAGAGAGAGAGAGAGAGAAAGAGAAAAAGACGCACTCTTCACTTCTCAAAAGACTCAAACGCGGCCGATTGCCGGAGGCGAGTTTAACGCGCGTATATGTGTTGCGCCGTGCGCGTCGCGACGCGTGCGTTGCAATGCGCTACGAGTTGTGACTGGTTGCGACCACGCCGTACAGCAGTGCAACTCGAACTGAAACGGGAAGTCGGGAAACCTGAAACGCGCAGAGACTCAGAGAGAACGTACACGCGACACTTTACGAGTCCTCCGCGCAGGCGGAGTACGCTTTACGAGTCCCACGTATGCTTACATACGAGTATAACGAATACGCTTACGAGCAGGTCGCACGCGCCTTGGGTGTGTAGTTCTGTGCGATGACTGCGGTACCGATACTGCCGTCCGATGGAATCGACGCGACGCGACGCGACGCGACGCGACGCGACGGCGACGCTTCGATACCATTCGATACTAGGCACCGTTAACCACGCTTAGCTTTCGCTCGCCTTCAATCGAAGACTGTCATTAACACAACTTTCAAAAATTTATGCGCGTTGCCATCGCATTAGGTCCTTTCTCCTTTTTCAACTTATAATGTTATATTAACGCTAAGCTTTATAAAGTGACAATTAAGATAAATTTATAAAAAGAATGTCACACTTCTCTAAGATGTTTTATTTGGCGAAAAAAATGCAACGAGGTCGTTCTTTCACGCATGGTAGCGTATGGCACCGCCAGATTTCCGGCTGCGCTTTTGTCTGTCGAAACACTCTAAATATTTGCTCTGTACTGCTAATGTGTCATGGACGCGCGCGCCAAGTATTTTCTTCTCGTGCACGCCCTATTACGTCACTGATTAAATTACGTGCGTAATGACGATCATACATCATATAAGTCAGACGCGTATTGAAGCATCTTCGTTCCAGTTTCCTGTAGCAAGCCAATTTATGGATGCATTACATCTTATTTTTTAATAAAATCATGAAGAAATTATGAAAAAGTTACAGATTTTTCTATATTGTATTAGAAAGTAATACAGAAACTCGTTAGAAACTTTAGAATTTGGATAAAATATTATTTTAATTTGAAGTAGGCATGTTTTAAAAAAAAAAATTAATTAATTAATTAAGGTAATATGAAAACATTTTCATTCAAATTATAAAATTGTATTGTTAAATTTAAATATTGACCTTATCAAACTGCATATAACCTCCATACACATAACATTCCTTTTTTATAAAGTATAAATTTCCAATTCTAATCATTTTATTTAGAAAACTATCATAGAAAAGAACATGGAGAAAAAGGACATGTTTAATAGAAAAAAAGACAAAGTCCGTAATTACATTGGTCAATACTAAAATTGTATCCTACACCAAAATAACCAATAGTCTTTAATAATAATTTTGTGAAACTAACAACGAATATATTAATAAAAATGTCTTGTATCTTAACTCTAATTTTTCTAATATCCCTGGTAAAAGAATTTCACTGAAATTATTCCACGTTTTAGACGAAATTATTTCATTTCAGCGAAATTACTGAAAATTTGCTGAAATTTCATAGAAATTTTTGCTAAAAATGAATTTATCAATCAAAAATCGTTGACATTAAACTGAAATTTTTCCGAAATGCTGAAATTTTGCCGAAAAGTGTTCCAAAACGTGGAATAATTTCAACGAAATTTTGTTCACCAGGGACACTTCTGAGCCTAGTTTATGTACAACTCACGATTAATTCTTTTGGAATTGGAAAGAGAGGATGTAGAATAAGTTAAAACCCCGGTTAAGAGTTCTTCATTAACATGAAGAACTCTTAACCGGGGTTTTAACTTATTTACAATTTTTAATAGTTTAATAGTTTGCTGAACATTTTTTACTTCACATAACTGATCATACGCTAGTATTGAAAAGCTACTGCATGCAATTTCAGCTCAGGGAGTTATAAAATTCACAATGAATTTCCGCGAGATTTGCTTCGCTGGAAACGCATTCGATCCTATTTCATGACGTTATTTTGACGTTGCAGTGGTACAAGGACACACGTCGTAATTCCGCGGGTTGCCTGCCTGGCGTGCGTATCGAAAAGGTTCGCTATCGCATTACACGCGAATGCGCGCTTATTATCGTCTTACGTAATTGTGGCGGAACGATTATTTTTAACTCGCTATAGATTAGTAAACAATTCGAATTACCAGACATTCTGTTGAATTATAATTAATAAACTCTTAACTAGAAGCGCAATAAGTAGAATGTATCTCGATTGTATGAAATACGATTGCAATGCACAGTGATTAAGAAATATTGTTATTGTGGTTTTGAATACATGATATTTACTAACATCGACCTTCACAATTAATTTGAATTAATATTTAGCATAGTGATATAGTAATAAACAAAGGTAAAATATATATCGAATCAGGCCCTCCTAATCGGTATTTTTACCAATTATTTTGTTAATAACTTTTTAACGGACAACGACCGACCGAACGACTGACAAGTAAAACTTGTCGGAGATTACTCAGGATCATAATCTTAATAATACGTGTTGAGGTCAAGATCAGAGCAGGATCTTCTACTTTGCATATTTTACCAATAAATAATTAAATAATTTTTAAGTTAAAGTAAATAAATAATAATTTAGACTGTGTTCCAAATTTATTGTCCAAATTTATTGCACTGAAAATTTATAGTTTACGTGTACTACAGATTTTCAGTATACATTCAATTTTGCGTAAAAGTTTACATCAGGGAAGCTCTTCCTTCAATAACCTTGATCTTGCCATATGTTGTCTAATTAATATTATCGTTATACAAAAATTTACATGTATGTGTGCGTAAGCTATTGATGTAGTAATATGTAGTGATGTGTCAACGACACGTAAATCGCCTATGTGTAAATATTATTCACAATATGACTATAAATCGTCTTTAGGATCTCCTTAAAGCAGAAAATTTGTGATTTCGTAACTTCATGCGAAAAAAATGAGATCCACATCCATCCCAAATCCTTCTCTTGTCTAAGGACCCGACTTTTCACATGAAGCGAGGCTCACCTCACCTCCCCCTTGCTTAGAGACCCACGACTGCTCAAGTGCTTACGAGCACTTTCTAAGTAGCGGAGTAATCTAAACTTCGCTTCGCGTAGAAAGTTGTGCGCTCCTAAGCAGGGGAGAAGTGGGATGGATCTTACTTAGCGTGAAAAATCATGCACATGGCACCCCTAGGCAGGAGGGGAGGTGGATCTGGTTTCGCGCGTAAAGTTGTACTCCTTCAGGCTGCATTCGGAAACATCATTTGTGTTCGGAATTATCTTGCACACTTTTACAAATTGTTTTTTCGGTTTTTTGTCGTCTGTAAACGAAAAAAATTATTATAAAGAGAGCATACAAGTGTTCAACTTGTAATTTTTGTAGGTTATACTCGTTTTAATCAGCATTACCAGAAATCGTCGTGGAATCGATCCACACGTTGTATATGACATACCGTAATTTACTTTCCATATATTGTGTGATTACTGCATAGGTATATCTATGTCAACTCGTCCCTCAATGAAACATTTACGAAGACGTGATTGCAGTTACTTTAATTTCGACGGTTACATTCATGCTTAGATAATAATTTATCTGTCGACAGTACGCACAATGTATTTTTTTATCATATTAACTTGTTCTTTTTAGACATAAAAATTGCAACGGTGTGAGATACGCAACACGAAGAGAAAAAAGAAGCCTATAGACATGCTTATGTCTTATGTCTTTCTACAATAAGCCATTACCGAAGCTTAAACCGTAAAAAGTTGACCAATCACAGTCGAATGTGAGAAGAATAGTCGACTATAATTGATCAATTTTTTATGGCTTAAGATTTAAACTTTAGGTAATAGCTCATTGTAGAAAGCCCAGACTTTAATCATATTTTATTTTGTTTAAGGAGAAAATGGCAGTATGAATCCCATTTATATTTTATAATAATTGATTAATAATCAACATTTAAATTTAAAACTTAACAATTACATTCATCAAAGTGTAATATAATCGATTCTTTACGAATTTATTACTTAAAACATTTATTTATAAAAATGTGATACATAGTACCTCCTACAAAAATAAATTTTAAAAATTAGTTTAAAAAAAACAATATTTGATTACATTATTTGTGTACGTTTCTATTATAAACTGTTGGATTTTTTGTTTGTTGTTTACGTAATTCAGTATATTTTTTTATTCGACAAGTATAATTGCAAACTTTTATTCAAAATGTTAAAAAATGGATTATCATTTTTTATTATATTCAGAACATAATTTCAGAGATTCGCACACGAAAAATCTTGAGTAATAGTTTTAAGCACTTTTTTCTTTCTCGTTAAATCATTTATACTTATTTAAGGAATTATTTATTCTACTATATGCTAAGTTTATGATTTAGTCAAATTAAACATGATCTGCATAATTAACGTGATTATATACCCGACTTGTGGGTGGATGTGTAGTCGTGTCATCCGCAACGATTGTCAGGTCAAGTAGATTAATTGGTGCGCACGACGGGATCTTAAAGGGCCCATGATGAAATCATCCGGTGGAACATTACGGAGTTGTTTATTTCGAAAAGGGCGTGAGTCATTTTTTTAGTCACTCTTTCTATGTTTCCGTATTTCTTTAGTTTCCATGATTGAGCCTCGTTAAAGAAAGGGGACTACATAATGATCGTCCGATATGCATTATCGGTCGTTAAACGCGGAAAACAGTACCAGACATGTCAAGGAGAAATAAATTTCCATAAATGTCGCAATGTACAAAAATATCTAAAATACTCATTTTCTTTATTTAAACAAGAAAATGTTAAGAGAAGGGCTGACAATATGAATCTGACTCAGTTCGTGTAAATTCTTTAATATAAAATTGTTTTTTGATAACAATATAGTCAATCATGATGTAATAACTTCTTACAGGAAAACACAGTAAGTATTAAGTATCAAATTGGTTAGTAGTTTATTAGTTTTCAGATAGCAATCCAGGTAACATTTATGTTGTATAAGATATCTAAGTCTTTTAGATGTCTTATATTTAAAAGATGTCTAAAAGACATCTTTTAGATATCTTATGCAACATAAATGTTATCTGGGAAGTTGCTTAAATTGCCCGTAATATTGAGGAAAGCAATTTTCAATTGATTTTACCTATTGGATTGCCGGTTTTTACTGTTATCAATAATGATTAGGAGCAATTTGATGGCAATACTC